CTTCCTTCCTTCCTTCCTTCCTTCCTTCCTTCCTTCCTTCCTTCCTTTCTTTCTTTCTTTCTTTCTTTCTTTCTTTCTTTCTTTCTTTCTTTCTTTCTGTGTTTAGCATGTCTGAATTATTTCATGGGGAAGTGAGGGTTTGCACATTAGAAGAAGTAGGATTGGCAGAAGGTGGAGAGTCAGTCCTAGGTGGAGGTTGGGTTTCCTTGAAAGACTGCTTCTGTGAGCTAGCTCTTCTCTTTGCTTTGGAGAGTCTTTGGACTCCCTTAAAACTCCCACATCTAGTGTTCCCACTTTGACTTTATATTACAGAAGCTCTAGTCCCTCCTCTCCCCCATCTCTCTTAATGCCTCTTTTCTGTCTTCTCCTGATCCCCTTTCTGCTTTCATGACATCTTACACACATTCGCATGAATACATATATGTAAAGCTAGGATTTCTGTGTAAGAGAAAACATGCAGTGTTTGTTTTTCTGAATCTGGATCTTCTTACTTAGTATGATATGGTTCTAGTTCCATCCATTTTACTGTAAATTACATAATTTCATTTTTTCTTTTAAAAATACATTTTTAATTAAAATATAATTGAGTTTCTTTTCTCTTTCCTCTTTCCCCTTCAGCTCCTCATTTGTCTCTCTTCTCCAACCCCTACTATTCTTTCTCACCCTCACATTAATAGCTTCTTTTTCTTTGAGTTATATATATATATATATATATATATATATGCATATATGTAACATGTATATGTCAATATATGCAAAACTATAAATATAATCTGCTAACTTCACCTTTTATGTGTATGTGGCTTTAGGGCTGAACATTTTGTATTGAGTAACCAATTAGGTAGCTCATCCCTTGGAGAGGCTAATTTTTTTTTCCTTAATGGCTGAATAAAATTAAATTGTATGTACCACATATTTATAATTCATTCATCAGTTGTTGACCATCTAGGCTGATGCCATTTCCTTGCTTTTGTGAGAAAAAGTTTTTTTTTTTTTCAAAAAATCGTGAATGAGTAAACATCACTGTAATAAGATTAAAGTACTTTTGGTATCTGCTCATTTTAACTGCTGTGTCTTATTTTTAACCATTCTTGATTTTTTTGCTCACTTTATCATCTTTGAACTATTTCACCTATTAATTGTATTGTATATTGCCGGGAGCCAAACCCAGGAAACTGCCTGCTGTTCTAAGAGACCTTCAGGGAATTACCTGCTGTTCTGGAAAGACTAGTCAGTACAAGGTTAAGAAAGGACTTTCATGGGTCTCAGGTCCCAGGAACTTAAAGAACGTCTGGCATTTCCTGGGAGCTGGATAGGACAATGGGATGGTCTAGTGCAATAAGGATATGACAGTGGACTGGTCTTAGACAATGATGATTCAATAGTGGGATAGCCCTAAGCAATGACCCTTGCCTAAACTTCCTGCTTTGCTGTGTCTTTATAACCTGCCCCCCAAATTAAAGTTTCAGAGCTTGATCAGAACTCCAGACTTGCTCTCCTTTCTTGTGTCTCTTGTCCCTTCATTCTTTTACCCCCTTCCCTAGGGTCTGGTTGAATCCCTGCGGGCCAGGGCAATATATGTTAGCAAAGCCTCAAACTTTTATTTCTGAATGCAATGTAGTCTCCATACTGCTCCTTCATTTGTACTTCTTAGACTGATGATTTCTCACATAGGTAATGTATTCATTCTTTTTCATTTTTGTTTTAATTTCCCTTTGAATTTTATTCTTCTCACTTAGGTTTATATTTTATACCGGGGATAGTAAGTACAGCCGGGGGGAGGGAGGCAGGAGGATTTATAGGCATCTAGCTCCTTTTCTTTTGGAGGGGAGTTTTTTTTCACTTACCCTATGACTCTTACGGATTTTTCCATCCTGTAAGACAGATTCCCTTCAGTCTTATCTAGATAAACAAATAAGCAGGAAACAAACTAACCCAGCACACTAGCCTCTGGAACCCTGTGGAATCTCACGGATCCATTCCATGCTGTGTACAGGTCAGCTGTGGATTCTAGTATAACAGTTTCTGACTTGTAAGGGCACAGTGCCATGTCAAGTGACAAGGATTATGTTTGAACCCTATTGACTATATTCAACTCCTGTATTTAAAATATTATGTTATACCTTGCAACCATCAATGCTTTGGTTGGGCCAGAGTTAGGGGTTACTAGACAGAAAATAGATCTGAAAGGCAGTCGTTAACTTATAGGCAATTAATTCCACTAGGCTCCTCTCAGGGACCTAGAATGGCTTCTGTTATCACCTGCTGCCAGCTGAGTATAAAAGGATTGCCCGTTGCCACTCCATCACTCTCTGTTCTCACATGTTCCTTCTCTCTCTCTCTCTCTCTCTCTCTCTCTCTCTCTCTCTCTCTGTCTCCCTTCCTCTCTCTCTTTCTTTGTTCTCTGCCCCCCAACTAACCCCACTACCTTCATGGCTCTGCTTCTGTCTGCCTGCCTCTACCCCTTCTCCAGGTCCTCACTCCCCTCCCTTCCCTTAAGTAAACTCCCTTCAGAGCAGATCTGATTCATGACACAATTTCTCAGGGAACACCTTGACATGGGCCCTCCAGATACCCCCTTTACACATTATATTTCATAACAGCAGTGAGTAAGAGGAACCAGTTTCTTCCTGTGCTCTGTTTAGTTTGCAACCCGACTGCAATTCTGAGATTAACTCAGCAAATCCAAGTAAAACTCAGATTAGCAGGGTTAGTTGTCTAAATACAACATTAACAATAAAGAAATATAAAAAGGGAATATTTCTGTTAAATAATACTCTTACTAAATACTTTTAATTTAATCTTGCAGAGAGAGAGAAAGGAGAGAGAGAGAGAGAGAGAGAGAGAGAGAGAGAGAAAGAGAGAATGAATTGCCAAGAGTATTTTCCCCTGACACATCTTTACAAGAAGCCCCTGTTAGATCAGACGGCTCTCTCTGACCTCAGCTATCAGTGGCCAGACAAGCAGATCTGGGTGTGCTGGAGGAAACAATGGAGCAGCTTTCTGACTTATTTACAGCTATAGAGACAGAGGTATAAAAAGGTAATGCACAAACACAAACACAGGACTGGCCTCTCTTGGGACTCTGGCTGTTAAGGATTTGTGTCTGTCATCAAGGCTGACTACAATCCCCACCCCACCAGAAAAAGTAAAAGCTTACCTCATGACTGCTGTGTAGCTGTCTGCTGTGTGGAAGTGCTCACAGGGCTGCAGGCGCTCTCCGGGCGCTCTCCAGACAACCTCTTCCTCTGCCTTCTAATGAAATGCTACAGACTCATATATAAGAGTAGCTGCTGGTTTCTTTTCCTGTTTCTGTGCAGCAGCTGACCCCAAAGAAGGGAAATTGAAACCAGAAAGTGACACTGATGTCACTTTTTATGGACAAAAGGGTTGAAAAACTGCCAAGCCTTTCAGGGTCTGGCTGATGTCCTTGATCTGCTAACTGGAGAAGGAAACCTTTATCCCAGCATCCTGCCTCATCATAACCAACATAGCTCCTCCTCCCTCTCATCATCCCGGTGATCCAGGGAAGGGAGAGTTTCTATTTCCCAGTGCAGGGGTTTGTGTCTGTTTTATCTGCTCAGCTGAAGCTCCTTTCCTTCCAGGATAAGTGCAAGCTTAGACTTGGCAGAGGTTCCAAGCTTGAGCTCTGGTATTTATCTATCTGCATTTCTATGCTCTCCAAGGGAGATCACTCTCTGCCACTGCTGCTGCTTTAGGGTCTCCTGATTTGAACTGAAAACAATACAGCTGCCAGGTCATCAGGGCGATGGGTGGGAGGATTAAGGGGGTCAGTGAAGGAGATGCTAGCTCTAGAATTATGCTTGGCACCTAGTAACTAGTATAATTAGAAACCAAAATCATTAACCAGAGACCAAAGGGGCAAACTTTGGATATTTGCTTTTTCCAGAGGCAGAAATTCTCTGATCCACCATGATCTGTCATAATCACTAACAGTAGTTCTGAGGCAAATAACCCTTAACCCTTAAGTCATTCTAGATATTCCTGGCTCCCTTGGGATGCACCTGTAGAGCAGCTTGTTGGTTAACATGTGCATGTGTATCCAGATGTGCAGCAGCTGTCATTGCAGGCCTTGTCCTGTCCTTAGTTATGCCGGTGTTGGCTAATTTTGGCAGAATGCTTGGCTTAGTAAAGCACACTTCTGCCTGTGTCTGTAGAAATGTTTCCAGAAACACTGGGAAATGTGGAGACAAAGAAGATGGTGATGGCCTAATTTCAATGTCAGCAGCACTGTCCAATAAGATGAAACCGAACACTGCTCTCAGGGAGAGGGGGAGAGAGGGAGAGGGAGAGAGGGGAGAGAGGGGAGGGGGATGGGAGGGGAGAGGCTCCAGTGTACCATGGGAACTTTCTGACCCTCTGCTGGTGTATCTGTCATCACTGATACAGGAGTAAGAAGTAGCTTTGAGCTTCTTGACAGGCAATGCACAAAAGGAAAGCGGACAGATTTTTCTTATGCTTCCTTGATGACTAACAGAAGCAAAATGGGAAGTGGGGGAGCTGAGGTCTCTGGCCTCCCTGTCGATTGGTGTCTTCCAGTTGGATAATGACAGACTCCTTAATTCCTCTTACAAGCCTATGCTGTTTCCACTCGCACTGTTAGGGTAACTTTCTTCTTTCTCATTCTCCAGTGAATGTGATAATAAATCAATTTCCTGATGCCTTTAACATAAGGACATGATATAGAACAGTAGTTTCCAGAGCAACTGAGGCCACAGAGGAACGTTACTTAGTCTTGTTATTTATTGTGGGTTTTTCCGTCTGTGGTGGAAGCACATTCGTACTTTAACTCATTTACTTTTAGTTAGATTATATTAGTTATGTAAGACTCCAAGTGAGCCTTAACTTCCGGGAGATTCCCAAATAAGACTCGAGAACGGGGAGTTCCATGCAAAAGCAAGAGGTTTATTGTTCCAGTGCACTGGGGTCGTCCTGCACCCAGAGGAGAGGCGACCCCTTCTCTTCCTTTCGTAAGCTTTTTATACAATTTTTGAGGGCAGGTTATAGCAACAGCAACTAGACACGTATTGATTGATGCTCCTGGTGACCTTTACATTAATTGGCTGGGCAGGGAGGGGGACTCAGGAATCTTCTCTAAGGCCCTGTGGGAAGTTCCAAGTGGGGGGGGCTCTCAGTTACACTGATCACAGTTAGAAACCTACATTTTAATTCAGCCAATAATGACGAATTCCAGTTCTGTTTACAAGTTTTTATATATGATTTAAATATATTTATTAAAATGTATTTCTGTGTATAAAAATGCTAAAATAGGGACTAGGAAGACGTTCAGTGGGAAAAGCATTTGTCATACAAGTGTGAGGGCATAAGTTCAGATCCCCAGAGACTATGTAGAGCTTAGACGGAATAGTCCACAGGTCCACACTTCTGAAACTGCTACTGTGAGACAAGAGACTAAATACGTCTTTCAAGGGCTTTGGAGTCAGATAACCTGGCATATGTGGAAAAGAACAAGAGAAATCCTGTCTTAAACATGGTGGAAAAAAAAGATTTGGCTCTTGGGGTTGTACTTTGACCTCCCTGTGTCGTGAGACATACTTTACCCAATACCCCTACACACACACACACACACACACACACACACAGAGAGAGAGAGAGAGAGAGAGAGAGAGAGAGAGAGAGAGAGAGAGAGAAAAGAAATGATGAAATGCAGAATTAGGAACACCGTGAGCTTGGTTTTAGCTTTTAAATTTGGATAAAAATGTTTAAGTTACAGAAAAGCACTGGATGGGGAGATGAATATGGAGAAGTTGTACTCATGGTTTCTGATGTGTTTATCAAAAGATAAAGAGAGGGAGGATATGTTTTGGGGGATGTGGTGAGGTGTAGGAAAGCGGGTGCCTCGGCGGCCCATGCTGCGCCATCCCTGTCCCCTGAGGAATCAGCCACACCATGATATAGTATAGAATAGAATTTATTCAGGGCATGGGGAGAGGAGTTAAGAGGGTAGTAGAGGTAGAGAAAGGCAGAGAGAGAGAGAGGGAGAGAAGTAGAGGCCAGCTATGAGCATGTGTGTGTGGGGGGGGAGGGAATGGGAAGAGAGGGGAAAAGGGATAACAGGACATAGTAGGAGCAGGAAGGCAAGAGAAAAAGAGAGGGGAGGGGGCAGGCAGCTCCTTTTGCAGTGAGTCAGGCGTACCTGGCTATTGCCAGGTACCTGTGGGGTAGAGTTTAGACAAAATGCTAACAGTGACCATGTTCTGGAGAGCTTGAAGCCCTCACTTACCCTTTAGAAAGTACAGTGGCCTACTTCTCTGTGAAATGTTACCATGGTGAGGATACAGCATCTGAGGATGCGGTAACTGATCTAGTGGCAGGGAAAGTGTGAACGTATGGGGTTGATGCTAATCAGAAAGTGGAATGGTCAAGTATCCAACTGACTTCTGTTTTTAGAGAAAACATCATCTAATGGAAGTGCTGATGGTTCTGACAAAAATATTTTTGTCTTTTCCAGAGAAAGTAGGCCTTGGGCTGATCTAATCTCAGTTAGCTTAAAAGGGTAGACTAGCTGCTGTTCTCAGAATGAGGAAAGCTGTCTTAAGGAGTTACCTCAGCTGTAGATGGTGAAATGGAAGCTTTTCCCCACTGTGGCCAGCAATTAGTAGCATCAGCAGCACATGGAAACATGGGAAAGAAAAGTTCTCAGGCCCCATCCTCCATGAATGGACTCAAAAGTTCCTTGTTAACAATCCTTCTAGGTCATTACAATGCACGCAAGTATACAAGCCATATGATGTATTGAATGTGAGTGAAAAATACTTTTTACCCATTAAAATGTTGGTTGTCAAACCATTTCTCAAGACTTCTAAAGAAATTGACCCTCTTGTTTCCTTGAGTCTATATAAAAAATATTCCACAGATGTTTTGTTGTTCACCTAAATGGGTCAGGGAATAGATAGTTCAGTGCTATTCACGATGGCTGAGAAAGTATCAAGTTTCCAGATGTGTTCCTAGATCACACCACGGTCAGCTTGTGAAAGTGGAGTCTCATCTGCTCCAGTTCCTTTTGGACTCACTGACAAATTAGTATGTTTAAAGTGATCTCCCAAGTGAACTTCAACAATTAGTATAGGCAGTAAGCCAGCTTTGCGTTTTTATTTTCTTTCTGAAAACTTTACTATAGTTTTACTAAATGCCTCTTTCAAAGGGGCCATGGAACTTTAATGTTTTTCAAATCTTGTTTTTAATGACACTTTTTAAAATGTTTTAACCTTCCATGTAGCCCACCATCCACCAGAGGTAGTGGGAAGGAAAGGATATGGGGGATGTGGACCTGTTTAGGAAGGTTCTTTGGAGCAACTCCTGTCTGTGTTGTCTGGAAATCAGCAGTTCAGTTCACAAGTCAGCAATGGCAGCTCAGTCCACTGGCAAACACTTCACAGATACTCCAGCAGTACAGTTCAGTAGAGCCCGGATAACAACAGCAGTGACTTGACCTAGCAGAGACAGCCAGGCTTGACTCAAGTGAGCAGGAGGGACTAGGAAGAATGCCAGAAGAATCTCTGTCTCTATCACTTCGTGGAGTCCTATTTATACTCTCCAAACATCACATGTTCCCCATGTGCCTTGCCTCAGCAAAGGTCTTGCCTCAGCACGAGCATTCAATCAGCCCTGTCCACAGAATCCTGACAATTGGAGCTCAACTACACAATGTAAGGCGAACCAATGCATGCATGTTGTTAGCAAAGAATCCTTCACGTGTCCTTTCATGTGCTTGCTTTAGCAGAACATCCTCTCTCCTGTGTCTGCTTCGGTGATGTTCCTTCCCATGTCTGCTTTAGTCTTTCACACCTGTGTCCACTGTAATGAAATGTTGTTCATTCATGTGTTTGCCCCAGTAAAACACCATCCAAATAACTTTCCAAAGAACCCTGAACTTTCCACTTCATGTCCGTGTCTCAAAGACTTGATTGCTAGCTGCTGGAGCTAATGAGCCCAGTGGAAGGAAATTAGGTCATTGATGGCATGCCTTTAAAAGGGATTTTTGGGACTGTAGACTCTTCCTGTCTCATTCTTTACTTCCTGGTCATCAAGTGACAAGAGCTTCGTCTGCCTTGTTTTCTCTACTATAATGTCTTTGCTATAATCAGTTACCATCTTTTTTCCCTTTAAGTTGGTTGCCTTGGGTATTTTGTTACAATCATAGAAATATAACTAACACAGAAATAAACTCAACATCATTTCTTTATGCTGTGGTTCAAATGTGTTGCCTGAGGTTCACATTAGAAACTTGATTTACATATGCCAG